TCCGCCGACATACTCGCACTCGAAAGAAGTAATGATTTGAGGAGCTGTTCTCGATTTTGGAGCGGGCCGACGCCGTGGGGGGCTTTTGCGATTCTCAGTAGGCCGAGGCTTGGGCATTTGAAGAGTTGACTCAAATATTATAAATACCATGGAGAAGTGTATCTCCGGGCGCAGTTCCAACACCTTTTTTTTTCAGTATGCGGCAGTGGAGTGGTTTGTTCAACGTCATGGTCAGCAGTAGTTGCCCCGCCTTGTCGCTTTTAGCAAGGAGGCGCACCCTGCCTGCTCTGCATGGCCAGGCAAAGTCCTCCACCTCCCTCCTCCTCCTCCTCCTCCTCCTCCTCCTCCTTCTCCTCCTCCTTCTCTCCTGTAAAGGGAGCAGATGCGATGTGCCCACGGGAGTCGCGCTATCCGCTGCAGTACAGGGAGCGGCTGCAATGTACCCGTGGGCGCTGCGCCCTTCGAGCCGCGCCGCCGCTGCTCCGCTTTGTCCGTGTTGCTGATAGGAAGGTTTCTCAATCCATCCATCGGTTGTCCTTCATTGTTTTTGTTTGGGGCTTTGCACGCCGTCTCGCTCGCGTGCCCTCCGTCGTCCTTTTCGTCGTTCGTCCCTCCCTCTCCTTTGCCTCCGTCCCCCGTCCTCGCATGTCGCGCGTCCCTCTCTGCATTCGTGCGCGTGTCCTCCAACGTCTGACGTTTCAATGTTTCACGGTCTCACAGCACCGTGCACATGCACGGCCTCTCCGTGCGCGAAACGCACTGCGGAGCCGTCCCGCCGGACGGATTATTATTGGCAGCTCTGCTCTGCTTTGCTCGCCGTTCTCAGCGGATCAGCGAAAGTAGTCTTCTGGCCACGACGGCGACGCATGGTGAGCCGCTGCGAGGGAGGCCTCGCTCATTTCAACTCGCTGATGCACTGTCACAGTTCCTGGCACGAGGTCCCGACCTTCACTCCCGACGGCCTACGCACCTAGGCGGGGGCGCCCGAGAGAAAAAGAGAGAGAGAGAGGAATATATTGTAATGGATAGGTCCTCGTCGGAATTCGCAATTCGATAGGGCCTGTCAGGAGTTGTGGAACACCTCTCCCTCCCGCGCCTGCCCCCCCGAGTTTTTTCTCTCCTCCACAACGGATTGCTGGCCAGTTTTACCTCAATGCCCTGTCAGATCGGTGGTGCGTCGTGGCTGTCGGGCCCCACGCCAACGAGTCGCCGCGAATAGCCTGTGGGCCTCCGTCCCCAGCGTTCGGGGCTAGTTGACCTCCTTGTAAGCCCTCAGGGCGAAGTTACACAAGCTGGAACTCAAAAAGGTTCAGGTCCAGTTTTTTTTATTCCAGCTGTTTTGTGGACGCCCCCAGAAACCAATTTCCAGTCCCATGAGCATGGTGATATGACGATGGCGATGCGGACGATGGTGATGATGATGATGATGAGGATGGTGCTGATATTGTTGATGATGGTTGTGATGGCGACGACGATGATGATGATGATGATGATGATGATGATGATTATGATGAGAACGATGCGGATGATGATTGGGATTAGGGTGGTGATGTTGGTGAAGATGATGATGATGGTGATTGTGATTGTGATGATAATGAGGATGGGCTGGGGGATGATCAGGAGGGTGATGACGAAGATGAGGAAGATGATGATGATGTTGGTGATGATGATGGTGGTGGTGATATGATGATGCTGCTGACGATGACGACGATGTCCATGCTGCTGCTGATGATGATGATGATGATGTTCATGGTGATGTTGTTGTTGTTGTTGGTGATTGTGGTGTTATGATGATGCTGATGATTATGATTGTGATGATGACGGCGATGATTATGATGCGGCCGATGATGACGATGATCATGATGATATTGATTATTATGAGAACGACTGTGCGTATGGTTATGATGACGGAGTGCTGTCTTGTTGCGTGGTTGATGGCGGCGTCGGCACTTTAGGTTGTTGTGACTGTTGTGCCGTCTGGTGTTATGTTGCTGGATTGTGTGCGTGTCGTCTGCTGTGTTTGTTAGGCTGGTCGGTTTGCTGTTAGCGGTCCAGGATGGCGGTAGAGCGGGTGCAAGTGTTTTGGGCATGGGTTGAGCTGATGGTGGTGGTGGTGGTTGGGTTGGTATTTGCTGAGTCCTTTTGTGTTGTGCCAGTGATGCTGCCTTTGTCGTTGGAGCTGTCGCTGTCGTCGCGTTTGCTGGGAGGTTGTGGCCTTGGAACTTGTGGGCCGCATATGCGTTGTAGTGGGAGTGTTGCGTCGCGTAGTCGCACTGCCCAGTTGTACTTCATGTCGTGGTCGTCGAGGCAAGTGTTGAGGTGTTGTGCTACTTATTGTATGGTTTTGATATTGGCATTGTTGATTGGTGCTTGTCTTCCTGCGATCGGCGTGGTGTTGTGGGCGTGTGTCAAGACTACTTGTACTCTGAATGTTAAGCTGTCGCGTGATTGTGCCGCAAATGCTTGTAATTCGTTGCCGTGTCGTGAGGCGTTCGGCTGCTTGGGCGGTATGTGTAGTGGTTGACGTGAGTCCGCTTTGACGGCGCCCTCGAGCTTGATCAGCTTCGTGCAGGCCGTATCAGGGAATGTATCGGTGGTCAGTGGTGTAGCTTGGGGGTCGGGTCGCAGTGGTGGATGCGATAGGTACTGCTTGCCGTCGCGGTGTACAAAGATCTCGTTGCTGTATATGTATGTGTTGGTTGCCTCTTGGTAGTGGACTGCTTTGTGCCAAATGCCTTCTCCTTGGGTATCATCTTCGTCTGAGTCGGCGTAGAGGCAGTAGGCGGTCCAGCCACTGGGCAGGCGCATGCCATGGTATCTGTTTGCTTTTGTTTGCTTCGAGCGGTGGTAGACAAGCTTCGAGAAAATCAGAAGCTCGGCTCATCTTGGCCCATGGGTCGTCTCTGTCGCTGTTGTTGTCCTCTGACGCTGAAATGTCGTGGTCTTCGTGTTGGTCGTCTTGCCATTGGGCAGTTGGTACGTCGTCGTTCTGCGTCGGCGGCACTGGCATCCGCGGTGGCTTGGGTGGAATGTATTTGCGGCTATCTTTGCATCTTCGTTCGTCGTGTTTCGTCTTCTTTTTCTTGAACGTGAGGATGGGTATGGTTTGCTCTGTTCGTAGCGTTTTCTTCTGACTCTTGCACATGAATCGTAACTCTTCCAGGTAGTCGTAAAGTCCTCCTCGATCTCGTATCGTTCTGCAACATGTTGTTGTACGAATGCGTAGTCCTCGTCGTCCGGTGGTAGGTAGGTGCAGAGTCGGAAGCCGTCCTTAGTCGGTATGAACATCGGTGGGTCGCATGTGTCGCATGTAAATTGTGGTCCATGCGGGTGCGGTAGGACGTCGGATGGCTCGGCCTGAATGTAGTTCGGGTTGCAGTCGTCGTAGATGACGTATTTGCTCAGGTACAGCTCTGAGATGGGCGTATGTCCAAGGCTTCCGATAATTTGTGGCCATTTGTGTTTGTGTTTGGTTGGTGATTTGAGCCCGTAGTGCTTCGGAGGTATTGGGCATGCATGGTAATTGGGTTGGAAGCGTGCGGTGCCCTCCAACTGGTTTAGTAGTTCGCATTCGAAGTTGTTGGCGTCTTCTAGTTCGACGTATTTGGATTATTCGTATGTGGCTGGTGGGATGATGTGGCGTTGGCTCTTCTCTAGTATGCATGTTGCCCATGGTGGGTGGAGGGTCGAGGCTCCTGATGGGTGTAGTGCGTCGGCCAAGTAGTTGGTGAGTGAGAGTAGCTCAGATCCTGATGCGACATTGTGGTACGTGTTTCGTAGTTTCTTTTCGGTGTACTTGAACTTCGCGTGGATGGCGTAGTCCTCGCCTATCTGGAACTCGTACCTCTTGGTGCTCTGTTGGTATAACATGTTGTACAGTGTTTCTTTGAAGCCTGCTCGCTGTCGTCCTCATTGTAGTAGGAGTATTTTAGTCGTACGTTGCTTTGGTCGATGTCGTTGCTGAGTTGCTCCAGTGTGCTGTGTGTGAGTGGAGTTTTGCGTAAGTATCTTGGTGGCTCCTTGTCGTCGACGAATGGCTGGTGGTTGAGTTTATAGACGGCTTTTCTGTAGTGTGTTTTTTTCTGCCGTTGTGACCAGTGTGGCCCGACGTGATGGTGTGAGTATCGGTATTTCCAGCCCGTAAGTGCTAATGTGAGCCGATCGTATAATGCATTGAAGTAGTTTTTGTTGATGTCGGGTAGGCATGAAATCGTGATATGCGTCTCTCTCTCCTGGCCTTGGCCCAACCCTTGCTGGCAGGTGCAGGCAAGCATTCGTTATCTAGTCGTAGTGAAACGTAGACGAAGTGCTTCTCGCTGTCGGCCTCGGTGATCATGTCCTGTTTGTCTGGCACGACATGTGCGCGTAACGGCTGTGCGCAGTCTGGGCCGCAACAGGTCGGGTCTATTTTTCGACCGTGGGTGCGTAATAGTGGAGGTGTAGTCTCGTTTCCTCCATCAATGTATTGTTCGGTCGACTGTCGGTGCAGCGAGTCGATCAGGTACTTGCGCTCTTTTGTGATGTCGTCGTCCTTCTTGAGTGACCATGACCATGTCATGTGGATCGACAGTGAAGGTAGGCAGGCGAACCGTGGTGCATTGGCCCATGCACTCTCCAAAACAGCGTATGTGTTGCTGTTGGTCGGAGTGTACAGGGGGCGGCGTCGGGAACATCAAGCGGAATATGCATGTGAAGGCGATCGTGTCAGTTATAGGTTTGAGCCTGATGGTAGTGGAGACTGTGTACGAGCAGATGTATGGGTCACTCTTGTCAACCTCTCCAAGCTTCACAATTTGTCCCCGAGTGTAGTTGTGCCCCTTGGGCTCCCGTGCAGAGTGTGAAGCGGTGCGTGTATGCCTGCTCCGGCCCTCGCCCGTCCCCCATCCCTCCCCCCCCTCGCGCCTCATGCTTCCCCTCGGGGGGCACTGGGCCTCGCCGCGGATCTGGCCCGCGACGGCCGCGGGCCCCGGCGGCCGAAGAAAAACCGGAGCGGCGCCCAGTGGGTGCACCGCAGTCGCCGCGGCGTCCTGCTCTTCATCGACGAGGCAGACGCGTTCCTGGCCTCGCGGACCCGCAGAGGGGGGAAGGAGGAGGAGGAGGAGGCGGAGGAGAAGGAGGAGGAGGAGGAGGAGAAGGAAGATAGTGACGACGACGATGATGTTGACGATGATGGTGATGATGATGACGACGACGCTGATGCTGATGGTGATGCTTATGCTCATGCTGATGCTCATGCTGACGCTGATGCTGGTGCTGATGCTGGTGCTGATGCTGGCGCTGATGATGGTGATGCTGATGTTGATGCTGATACTGATGATGATGATGATGATGATGATGATGATGGTGATGATGCTGCCGATGGTGGTGGTGATGGTGATGGTGATGATGGTGATGGTGATGTTGATCGTGATGGTGATTGTAATGTTGATGGTTGTGATGGTGATGGTGATGGTGATGGTGGTGATGATGATGCTGATGCCGATGCTGATGATGATGATGGTGATGATGATGAGGATGACGGTGAGAGTAATGGCGATTGTGATGGCGATGAAGACGCTGACGATGAGGTTGACGATGCTGGTGATAATGATGTTGATGATGATGAGGTTGATGATGCTGATGCTGATGCTGATGATGATGAAGATGATGATGCTGATGATGATGATGCTGATGCTGATGCTGATGCTGATGCTGATGCTGATGCTGCTGATGATGATGATGCTGATGCTGATGCTGATGCTGATGCTGATGCTGATGCTGATGATGATGATGATGATGATGATGATGATGATGATGATGATGATGATGATGATGATGATGATGATGATGATGATGATGGGGTGAGATGGACGACCAGGAGGAGCAGGAAGAGGAGGAGGAGGATGAAGAGGAGCTTTCAGGAGGAGGAATAAGGAACAGGAAGAACGAGAGGAGGAGGAAGGTGATGACAATGACGATGATAAGGAAGAAAAGGAGGAGGAGGAGGAAACGGAGGAAGAGTAGGAGGAGGAATAGGAGGAGGGGACGATGGTGAGGAGCAGGAGGAGGAGGGGGTAGGAACGAGCCAAGGGCGGGGAGCGGGCAGGTGGATGAGACGGAAGTGGGGGAGGATGAGGATAATACCTTCTCTTCCCCCTCCACTTCCCGTTACTTCTCCCTTCTCTCTTCCCCTTCTTTCCCCCTTCCTTCCTACCCCCGCCCCGCTTCCACATTCATCGTCGTCTTCTCCACTCCCTCTTCGCCTCGTCGTTGTCATCCTCCCAATTCCTCCCCCTCCTCCCCTCCATCCGTTCCCTCGCCCTCCTCTTCCTCCTCCCCCTCCATTGTAGATTCCTCATCCACTCGTCTTCTTTCCTCCAGGAATGGGACCGAGATGAGCGAGGCGCTGCGGAACGCGCTGACGACCATCCTGTACCACACTGGCACGCCCTCATCGCAGTTCATGCTGGTCGGCTTTGCAGTTGGCGTCCACAGATCTGCTGTGTTCTGCATGCTGGGGAGGAGGATCAGGAGAGGCGGAGGAGGTGGATGAGTTTGAGGAGGATTGCTGCTGCACTGCTCTGCCACGATTTGGATGAGTTCGAGGAGGACTACTGCTGCATTGCTCTGCCACGATTTGGATGAGTTCGAGGAGAACTGCTGCTGCACTGCTCTGCCACGATTCCTCGCAGTCTTCCCCCCGGCGGCCAGCCAGGCACCCGACGGGCACAGCATTTCAGATGGGCCCAGCACGGCTAAACACGTGCATGCCGAGCCGCCTACAGCAGCGCTGCAGGCACACGAGCGGGCCTCGCCCCCAGACGGAAGCGAGGAGGCCATCCCCCTGGGCGTCAACCAAGAGGCCGCACAGCGTTGAGGTCGCTCTTCGGGTGCCTGCCAACAGAGATGCGACTCCAATAGCACTTAAGCCGAGCGAGGGCACCTCGGCTTCTCGAAGCACTGCTGGTTGACATGCCGCGCATGCCCGCCCGTGGAAAAGGGCTTGCACCGCAGACAAATGCACAGGGCATCGCCGCCGGAGCAGTTTGGCGCAACGCTCGTGTGGCCAAGCTCCATCAACCTCGTGTCGTAGAGCTGGTGAGCCTTGCTGCAGGCACTGTTCGGGGGGCCAACGCTCGCCGTGGTGCCCGGTGGCCCCCCACAGTCCGCGGGGCGAAAGAGTTCTGGGCTGGTCTCGCCCTGTCTTCGGAGTTTGGGGCGTCGCTGGCCGAGCTCCGTCGGGCCTGGGGAGTGGTGGCCTCTCGTCCCCTCTAAACCTCAAATTCTTAATCCTATAATTACTAATTGGGTAGTCGAAGGCCAGACTGTCAGATTGGATTGGGCCCCAAGGGCCAATCTGGCCTGGCCAAGCTGGACGATTTGGTTGATTCGCCAGACTGGATTCGCGCTGGCTCCCTCGCCAGATTGCCCCCGTTTGCCAGATTGGGCCTGCCAGATTGGCGCCAGATTGGCTTCGACTATCCAGTTAAATTCTTAATCTTATAATTATCCCAGTGCGACCCTACCTAGGAGTTGGAGCCCCTTGGAAAGCAGCATTAGTAGTAACAGTAAAGCTAAGCTAAAGCAAAGCTGAAGCTAAGCAAAAGCTAAGCTAAAGCTAAGCTGAAGCTAAGCTAAAGCTAAGCTAAAGCTAAGCTAAGGCTAAGCTAACACTGAGCTAAAGCTGAGCTAAAGCTAAGCTGAAGCTAAGCTCAAGCTAAGCTAAAGCCAAGCTAAAGCTAAGCTAAGCTAAAGCTAAGCAAAAGCTAAAGCTAACGCTAAGCTAAAGCTAAGCTGAAGCTAAGCTGAAGCTAAGCGAAAGCCAAGCGAAATATAAGCTAATACTAAGCTAATGCTAAGCTGAAGCTAAGCTAAAGCTAAGCTGAATCTAAGCTAAAGCTAAGATGACGCTAAGCTAAAGCTAAGCAAAAGCTAAGCTACAGCTATGATAAAGCTAAGCTAAAGATAAGCTAAAGCTAAGCTGAAACTAAGCGAAAGCCAAGCGAACGATAAGCTAAGACTAAGCTAACACTAAGCTGAAGCTAAGCTAAAGCTAAGCTGAAGCTAAGCTAAAGCTAAGCTAACACTAAGCTGGAGCTAAGCTAAAGCTAAGCTAAAGCTAAGCTAAAGCTAAGCTAAAGCTAAGCTCAAGCTAAGCTCAAGCTAAGCTAAGGCTAAGCTAACACTAAGCTAAAGCTAAGCTAAAGCTAAAGCTAAGCTAAAGCTAAACTAAAGTTAAGCTAGATCTAAAACTGAGCTAAAGCTAGGCTAAAGCTAAGCTAAAGCGAAGCTTCAGCTAAGCTGAAGCTAAGCTAAGGCTAAGCTAAAGCTAGGCTAAGGCTAAGCTAAAGTAGCTGAAGCTGAGCTAAAGCTAAGCTGAAGCTAAGCTAAAGCTAAGCCAACACTAAGCTAAAGCTAAGCTAAACCTAAGCTAAAGCTAAGCTAAAGCTAAGCTAAAGCTAAGCTAAAGCTAAGCTAACACTAAGCTAAAGCTAAGCTAACACTAAGCTGAAGCTAAGCGAAAGCTAAGCTAAAGCTAAGCTAAAGTTGAGCTAAAGCTAAGCTAACACTAAGCTGAAGCTAAGCTAAAGCTAAGCTGAAGCTAAAGCTAAAGCTAAGCTAAAGCTAAGCTAAAGCTAAGCTAAAGCAAAGCTAAAGCTAAAGCTAAAGCTAAGCTAAAGCTAAAGCTAAGGCTAAAGCTCCCAGGGGACTGGGAGAACCGCGGGGCGGGGACTGGGGGAACCGCCCAGGGCGTGTAGCACTGCCCGGCCCCTTTCAGCAAAGAGAGTAATAACCTTTCTAGGCAAAGCCTAGGTAGGGAATTTCCAAGCCCTAAACCCCGTAAAACCTTTATAAGTACTAAACTTTAAACCCCGTAAAACCGTGCACGTACGATTACTCGCGACCCGGGATGTAAGCCGGCACCATCCCTTGCAAAAGCTGTTATTTCCTGATCATGCGTGCATCATCCATTGCGAATTACAATGCTAATGCGCGTCCGCGGACGTAAACCTTCGCCATCCCTTGCAAAAATAGTGTTTCCTGATCATGCGTGCACAGTCCATTGCGATTTACAATGCAAATGCGCGTCCGTGGACGTAAACCCTCGCCATCCCTTGGAACAAAATATTTCCGGATCGCGCCTTCATGCACCTATGCGACTTTCCTTGCCAAATGCGCCGCTGTCGCAGAATCTTTTGTTTTACCATATGAATTCCATGATGTTTCAGGCGCTCGCAACGCTCCCAGGCGCTCCCAAGCGCTCCAGGCGCACCCAAGCGCACCCAGGCGCTCCCAAGCGTTCCCAGGCGCTTCCAGGCGTTCCAGGCGCCCCCAAGCGCTCCCAGCGCCCCCACGCGCTCCCAAGCGCTCCCAAGCGCTCCCATTCGTTGTACAACGAGGGGAGAGATGATCTTTATGGTAGGGTGGTTTGCGGGTGGAACTGGCAGCCACCGCAGGTGGGCTCCTAGGCAGGAGGGGATCAGCTGCGGCGGAGCTTGTAGACCCTAAACCCTAAAACCTAAACCCTAACTCACCCCCCCCTGGCGCAAGCTCCTGGGGCCCATAGGGGCCATGCGCCTCTCTGTGGAGCGTCTCGGGCGAACGACGGGTTTCACGACATTTGCCGACGACGTGGGGGTTGAGGTTCCGCTTGCCCTTGCGTCGCCAGCTTTCCCTGAAACGTCTCCTCAGGGCTGTTGTTATGCGGTTCCACAAGCGGGAATGAGGAGACAGGCTTGGTCTCGAATGGCGTGCTTGCCTGGATGTGCTGTTCGCTGCGATGCCATCGTCCAAGTTCACGGCCTGGGAAAAGGGGTGGATTCGTGGGCTGGCTTGTCAGGCGCCGTGGACCAAGGTCAGAGCAGCCGAGCGCGTCTACGAGCAGCCCGACCTTCTTTGCCCCGTGTAATCCCAGACCCAGACGATCATCTTCCATAGATTGCGGCGCTGCCAGCAGCCGTCCTGCGCCGCTCTTCGTCTTGATATCCTGGGCGACGATCCCCCTGCACCCCAGGGCCTTGGGGTAGCATGAGCAAGCGCGACCAGGTGCTGTATATGTATGGCATTTTCTCACACCCTGGTGATTTCTTCCGTGCCCCGACCCAGGCTGAGCCCGCCGTGCGCCATGCTTCTGAGCCTGACCGCGACGATTATCATGTCCAAGGTAGTGCGTTAATGGACGGGGGTCTTGTGCTCGATTTGTTTTTGGAGAGCGTTCACGGACGGGGTGGGCATGCGTTGTGGCCTCCGATTCTGGGCAGGAGTTGGGACATGCGCATGTCCCCCCCCCCCCCCCCCTCCCATCCCGCAGACGGCGCAGGCTGGCGAGTTTGTGACATGCGCGGCGGCGTGCCAGAATGCATTGGCCCCTCTTGGTACGTTATAGCGATTGTCAGGATGAGGCGCGGGCCTCGCCGCGTGTCGAGCAACTGCCAGTTCGCCGAGCGCGCGCTGATCTGTTTCCCCAAGAGTCGTCACGCAGGCAATGGCATCGCTGACCGCCATGCTAAGCTTCGACCGCTGGCTCGCGAGAAGCCGAGCCCTGAGTCGACCGCCTGGCTCAACCGAGCCCTCTCCATCGCTCGCAAGATGTGCGTTTTGGCTGCCGGGCCGCTCCCGATTGGCCGCAGCGCGGCCTCCCGCGGGCGGCCGCGGCGCGTCAGGGGCCAGCTGCCCCCGCGCAGGAAGCCCGCCACCCTTGGGTTTGGAGGGGCGCACTCACTGGAAGCGCAAGCAGCGTTTGTGGGCGATGCGTTCGAGGGGGAGGATGGGGAGGAGGAGGAGGGGGGGATGAGGAGGGCCGTGGCCATTTTGGCCCAAGGGGCCTGCTCCTTAATTCCCCAACCTCTGCTCGAGGTGGCCAGCGTGCTGCGCGGGGGGGCTCGGGCCCCGATCCTTCGGCGGGCGCGCGGGGGCGCGCTATGCCAGCGTATTGTTCTCGCGCGGGGGATTGGCGTCGCGCGCGGCGGCGGCGGTGGCGGGGCGGGGGGGTGGGGGGGCGGGTGCAGAATCAACGAGTCGCGGCGGGCGCGGCGCAAACACTGCTGCCGCCAGTGGACAAGCGCCTGGGAAGATAAACCTTATCCTGGTGGGGCTAGTGGCGCGCGGGGCATTCGTAGCCCTCCTGCCACCCCTGGTTCAGGCGCGGGAAGTGAACGGGTTCGAGGGGCCTCCGCGGGCACTCATGGGAGTTCCAGCGAGGGAGAGATCGAGTGTGTAATTAATTTCCTGGAGGCTAATTCCCATTTTGAGGCTGCCAGCAAATGCAAGGAGAAACGTCGCGCCATCCAGGCCCCGCCGCCCAAGATGCGGCGGGGCCCCGCGAAGCAGGAAATGGAGAGACGTCGGGCGAGAATGACTTCGAGCAGGCCAAGTCAGACAGTGCAGATGCGTTCGTTGCCCGTCAGCGCGCCAGAGAGAAGCGCGCAGAAGCCGCCCGAGAGCTCGCAGTCTCAGTCCAGCAGCAGCCACAGCCCAGCCCCAAGTCCGCCAAGCCTGTCCTGTCCATGGAGTCTCTCATGGATGGAGCTGGAGGAGTTGGAGTTAGATGACAGTGATTTATCTGGGCTGGAGGAGACGGGTTGGGAGGCATCGGCGGGGGGGCATGAGGAGGCAAAGCGGAGGAAAGAGGCCTTCGTCAACCATTTCCAATCAGCAGCTCAGCAGGCGCTCGGCTCACTCCGCGACCAGGCGAAGGAGGCAGCCCAGAAGCAGCGAGAGTTCCGCGCCCGTCTGGCTGCAAAGAAGTGGCGGCCTGCAGACGAGGCCGCAGTGGGGGATCCGGATGTTGGCCCTCCTGGTCAGCACGGCCCCCAGCAGCCTCCTGCCCCAGCCCCTGCCCCTGACTGTGGCCCCGCAGGCCCTCCTGCAGGTTCGAGACAGCCTCATCCGAGGACATCCACCGAAGAGCTGTTCTAGGAGGCCCGTTCCTAGGCTTCGAGGGGCGCTCTAAGGAAGGAGGAGGCGGAAGAGCAGGGCCGTCTGGAGGAGGAACTGCAGGGGGGGGCACCAGCAGGAGCAGGCGCAGGCAGCGGAGCCGCAGCAGCAGCAGCAGTAGGAGGAACCGCCCTGCCCGCGCAGCCCCCGCCTGGCGCGCGGCAGCGCGGGTGACGTCAGCGATGCGGCCGCGGCGGCGGCAGGATCTGGCAGCGAGACAATCTCGGCGATGACAGCCAACACCTCGGACTGGAGCAGTTGTCAGAAGTACCTTGAGAAGGAGGCCCCCGGGGCCACAGTTGTCCTGTTGCAGAAAGTCCAGACTCACCCTGTCGCCAAGGATGAGTGCGCAGCTGGGATGAGAAATGGTCATGGGGCATTGTGATCAATCCTAGTCGCATCGCTGAGGTGGGGGGTCCGTCTTCGGGAGTTGGGATTGCTGTGCCACTGCATGTTGGGATGCCTGGTCCGTCTCGGGCAGGCCCCAAGTTGCCCTCGGCACCGAGGGTCGTGATGAGTTGGATCAGCAGTATCGTCCCAGGAGGCTCCATCGCCGTCTCGCTGCACCGACCGACAGGGCCCCCCCTGGGGACCGAAGGTTTTTGTTGTTGTGCAGACTAGGGGAAGTGCTCCACGCCTTCATGTTACCTTGCGTCACGGGCGGAGGTTGGAACTGCCCCCCTCTCAACTATGTAGTTTCGGCGGCTGGAATGGGAAAGGCGCGCGCGGGGGGGGGGCATATTTCGGTCGCAAGGCGCCCCGCCATCAGGTAAGGAAGGGCGTGGGGGAGTTGGACTACTTTGTCGCCCCTGCCGACCTTGCCCCCTTCCATCCTTGCGGCCGAAGTGATGCGCGACATTGCCATCACTCCTCATTGCCCGTTGAAGCTGACACTGCTGTCGAAGCTGCGTCGCGCAGGGTGCTTGGCATTGGCAGGCCCCAAAAGGTTCCCTCTCGCGGCCCCGCCATGTCCTATCCCTGCGCCGCCTGGAGCTCCGTCGAGGATGAACTTGTGAGATTGAGCGGGAACCCCGAGGCCTGTGCTCAGGGGGCCTTGAATGCAGTCTGCGGCGGCTTCTCTCATCTCACGGGCACCGAACTCATCGCGGCGCGCGGCCTCGGAGGACCCGAGGGGAAGAGTCACCGTGGGCGCGGGGGAATTTGAAGGTTGCGTCGCGTTTCTGAGCCCCAGACCAAAGGCGGCCCCTACGCCTTATCCTGCGCGAAGGCTCGAGATTGGAGGAAGGCTGTTATCAGGTTCCAGGAGCTGTCGCGCATTGTTCGACACGCAGATGACCTCCCCCCCGTCGCGTGGCATGGGCCTGGTCTCCAGGGCATTGCGCGGCAGGCCCCCGACGATGATCCAGAGCACTGGACATCATGGTGCCCCACCCCCGCAGATATCCTGCGCATGTGTGCCGAGGAGCTCGACGCATGCGCCAGCGAGGCCGCGCGCTTCGCCGCGCTGCTCGAGCCGGCCTTCGCACGCGCCGGGGGTGCTGCGTGGGGGAAATGGGTTGCAGATGCTTGTGAGAAAGGAGGCGGTCGTGCACGTGTGTTCTCGCGCTCGCTTGTTGGATGCAGACCTTCGGCTGGCGGCGTCGACGGAGCGCCCATGGGTCTTGGCGCGCAGGTGGGCGCGCCCCAGACTGAACGGTGCGACGGTCGCGGCGAGCGCCAACTCCGCGACGGGGCTTCGCCCGCTGATGGCTCTGACACATGCCGGGCTGTCTCGGTTGCGCCAGGAAGGCATTGGCCCCGGTGAAGCAGCCAGCTTACCCGCCCTCGCGGCGGTGGACATCCGTGCGACGGCCAGGACGTTCAAGGAGCGCACTGCTGTTGGTGCTGACATGATCAGTCCTCGATATTTGATTTGGTTGCCAGGTCGGTGTCTTGTTATCTTGGGCTTGCCGTGGCACGCCATGCTTGATGTCGGTGAGGCCCCCTCGCAGGCCCCCCTCGCCACGGCGACGGTGCTCGAGAAACTGGAAGAAGGCGCCCGCCCCCGCACTGCACCTTCATCCGCGATGCGCCACGCCGGTCGCTCGTAGATGGACGACGGCAAGCCAGAAGGGCCATTTCTAGGGATGTTCCAGCATGTCCTGCGAGAGAGGGGACTGGGAGCAGGCCCTTGCGGAGCATGCGAGAGATGCCGAATCATGCGTCGCATCCGGCCGTTTGGGTTTATCCAAAGCATGCGAGCGCGTTCAGCAAGGGCATGTGATTGACATTGCTATTCAGTCGGGGTTCCCCTTGGATGTCCTGAGGCTTCGATTGTGCATTTATCGGTTCCCTCGGCTACTACTGGCGGGGCAGGTGGCTTCGCTTCCGGTGGCGGTGTGGCAGACCGTCGTAGCGGGATGCGCATCTGCGACGACGCCCTTGAAGACGTTGCCCCCGCCTGTCCCGGATGCGGTGATCATCCGCTACCCTTTTGCCAAGCCCGCGAATGTGGTCGATGACATCACTTTGGAGGTTCGGGGCGCTGCCGAATTCGCGCCCTGCCAGCTCGTCGATGCCGCGCGCTTCGAGTGCCAGAGATTGGAAGCATTGGGTTTTGTAGTGGCGAGGACAGAGGGGAACACCAGTTCCACTCTCCAGTCTGTCGTCAAGAGGGTCACCTGGAATCCGAGCCGATGGTTTCAAAGGGGCAGCCGTTGCCGAACAGCTGGGCGTGGATTTCACGACGGGCAACAGTCGTCGGAACCCCGTCCAGGTCGCCGGGATACCTAGGGTTCGGAAGCGACCCCGCAGGCTCATGGCCCTCCGTTCTTCGTTCGGCAAGCCGTCAAGGGTTGTCCGTGCAGGAGCCAACCCTGCAGGACTCTACGGGGCGTCGGTCATGGACGTCTCCGACCGTGCTTTGCGCAGCCTGCGGTCAGCAGCAGGCGAGTCTCTCTTTGGGAAGGCCAGGGGAAAGAGTCGCACCATCTGTTGCATGCTATCTCCGATGCCTGCCGCTAACCCCGCGTGCGCGGTGAACTCTGCTTCTCTCGCCGCTTGGGCGACGGCTGCTAGGCATGGCTGGGCCCCCGCGGAAGGGATGAAGCTGGCGCTCGGTATCGTTGGGGCTGATGGGCCCGTCCTGGCTGCAGGTCAATGGGCCTGCTGGGGCCGCTCTCGCTGCCCTCAAGAGGCTTGGTTGGAAGAGCTCTTGCTGCCACCGCTGGGAGACTCCTAGTGGGCTGGTATTGGGCCCCCTCGAGCATGGGCCCAGGGCCGTCAAGACGATCGCCGATGCGGGTGTCAAAGATGCCCCACTTCGGGGCCTGATTCTCAATCATGGGGCCTGCCTTGGTAGAGATGATCATGTCTTCCCCCTCTTGGGCCCTCTTCAGGAGGCGTGCTAAGATTTGCGCGCTTCGGGCGAAGGTCTGGGGGGCCCGCTGCTGCCTGCCGCTGCGTCGGGGGGGGGGGGGGGGCTGCCCGGGCCGACTTGTATCTTGACGGGCAGTCTGCGTGTTCGGCCTGTATCCAGCGGGCGTCCGCGCGGCACCAATCAGCGCATGCGGAATTTTTGCCTTGCCACTGGCACAGGCAAGAGTTCGGGTTCGATAGGTTGACCAGAGCGGCGGCGTGGCCGGTCGTGGCGGCGTCGCTTGCCGCGGCGGCGTCGCCTGCCGCGGCGGCTTCGGAGGCGAGCTCGGCGGCGGCGACGGCGGAGCCGGCGGCGGAGCTGGCTGCGGCGGGAGAGGGCCCCGCGGGCTCGGCGTCGGGCGTCGCGGGGGGCGGCCCCATGGCGCCGGGCATCGCCGCGCTCTTGCGCGCGCTCGAGCATCGCATTGCGACGCTCGAGCAGCGCGTGGCGGAGCTTGAGGGGGCCTGAGCCGGGCTTCGTGTCCTTCCTCCCCCTCTCTCTCTCGCTCTCTCTTTCTCTCACTCTCTCTCGCTCTCTCTCTCTCTCTCTCTCTATGTATCTTATGTTTTTTCTCTCCTTCCTTTTCCCTCTCTGTTCAAAAACGATCGTTAGTGTTGTTGTGCAAAGAGGCCAAATTCGCAGTCCGCCTGCGTATTTTGTCATCCGAAAGAGTAGGATAAGCTTCAGAACAGCCCGCGGCGGGGGAGGGCCATCATTGGCCAAAGATAGGGATCTGCTAGCCAGGGAAAAAATTAAAACGGCTGGAATCCCAGGGGGGCGTTTCCCAGGAGAGCAAGCGTGCCTGAGCACGCAACGCATATTCGCAACTATTTCGGCTCGAGCGGTTATAAGACGGGTGGCGCCCCCGCCTACGCTGACAAGCTCTTGCAGTGCTCCACCAGCACTCCCGCGTTTCCGGCATGTCCTGCCGCGTTGCACCTCCGAAGAAGGACGACGCCCTCGCTCTGTGCGTGGCGGTGTTGGCCTGCAGGGAGGAGTTCCCGAAGAAGGAAGACTGGCTCCGCTCCCTGGCCTCGGCGACGGACTCCTCGCAGCAGCTCCGTAACTTCCTGAACAGGAGCGTCGCCTACGAGCAATACAAGCCTGCCGCGGCCGAGTGGGAGAGCCGCGCGACGCAGGTGGACGCGGTGAACCTCCTGGAGACGCGGAAGCTGAACCGCGAGGAGCTGGACAAGACGACGGTCCTGAACCTGAAGACAGCGGCGCGTGTGGACGGGAGGTCCCTGCACCGCCGCGCGTTCTGCGCCGTGGTCTCCTTGCTGAACGGCGCGGCTGTGGCTGAGCACTTGGAGGCGAGCACGCGCGGCAAGAAGAACGTGAAGGCCAGCGAGATCATCCGCTTGGCGGAAGAGGTTCCTGCGGAGAACTGCTTCACGAACGCGTTCGACGCGCGCGCGCACTCCTTGCCGGCGGACAAGAAGGAGGAGCGGAAGGACAGCCGCCCGCGGCAGATCCTTCTCACGGAGACGGCGGACGCGGTTCACCTGAAGGAGGCGGGCTGGAAGAAGCGGGCGTGCATCCGCCGCGCCGTGCGCTACGGGGGCCTCCTGGGAAAGAACGCGGTAGCCCTCCCGACGCTGGCCGTTCCCGACGGCGGCTGCAAGAAGGAGCAAGGGTGCCTGCCTGGCCCCGGGGCTCGCAGCGGCTACAGCTTCCTGTAGGGGAACTCTCTGGGGATCTCCGGAGACACCAAGTGTCTCGGGCTGCTGGGCGAGGAGTTCGACAGGACGGCGAAGGCGCACTCGGGGCTGAAGAACAGGCTGCTCCAGCTGCAGAGGACCTAAGAATGGGGCAGGATTCACGCGGCCAAGTCCCCGGCGGAGAAGGAGTTCTGGAGACGGCTGGCGGCGCGGTTGGAGCTCTGGCGGGACGGGCGCCAGCAGGACGACCTCCGGCTGCAGTTTCGGCTCTGCGAGATGAGCAAGATCGCCGGGATCGTGCGCCGCAATGCCGGCAGGAGGCGCGGGGGCCCGGTCGCGGACGCAGCGGGGGCGGACTTGATGGAGCAGGACGAGCCCCTGGCGGGCGCGGGCGCGGAGAGCGACAGCGAGGGCGGGGGCGCGAAGGCGAGGGCGACGAAGACGCTGGCCGAGCTGAAGCTCTCTTTGGTCGACGAGGAGGCGCGGATCGGCGACGACCCAGCCAGCGAGGGGCCTCCCGTGAAGCGGGCAAAGCGCTGAGCCAGAGCCGCAGGCTTTCCCCTCCTCTTTTCCTTTTTTTTGTTTCTCTCTCTCTCTCTCTCTCTCTCTCTCTCTCTCTCTCTCTCTCTCTCTCTCTCTCATCGCCGATGCTTATTAAGGCGCGGCACGCCCGTTCCCTTGCTGCCAGCGTCTGTGCCACGGGCACCGACATTCAAGCCCCATCAGGCCCCGCCAAAACTGCCTACAACCACGCCCTCAAGGCGGCTATCCGCCCCAAGGGGAACAAGTGGGTCGAGTTTTGGACTCTCATGGCCGTGTGCGTCCCAGGACACGCCCTGGAGATTGACGCCATCACGCAGCGTGAAGCTTTCCTGTGCCTGCGGCGACAGGTTAACCGCGACGTTACACTCTGCGGTCTCGTCAGGGATCTCCAACACCACGTCCAGACCCTGTTTGGTGGAGGACCTGTCGGACGACTCGTCCAGTCGCTCCAGCAGCTCCGTTGGACCTGGCCCACATTTGGCATCATGTACGACGACTGGGGCTGCCAGATCAGCTGGCTGAACTTACCCCAAAACGCCTTCCTTCACATGCTGCGGGCCTCACAACGCAGAGCCTTTCTGAGGAGGATCAAGCCACGGCGTCACGACCTTGGATACCTTGCCTCTGTCAGACAGGGCCTCGACCTCTTCGCCAGCACGTGGCTCGCCCGAACGAAAGGAGCAGCCAAATGCACTGCCTGGCAGCTGGCGCTCCTCCTGAACTACCTGTCGGGCGGGGACCACACCCAACAGCGACGATCCCGATCAAACACGTCAGCTGACCCCAGCCCCATCTGCCGATACTGCGACGAGGAAGAGGAAACTCAGGAGCACACTGTCCGCGACTGCAAGTGCTGGGCCCGAGAAAGACTCCCTCTCACCACCCTCATCAGTGACGAGCAGTGGGCCCGTCTTCCGCCGCACACAAGACACTGCGGGCTCTTCGATGAAGACCCAGCCCTCCTCGACCTGCAGGCCGACCTCGCGAGGGACCCGCTACCTCAGCCCATACCGCGGCCCCCACCTGAGGGAGATCCTGCGGCTTCAGCCCAGGACTCCTACACCACCTACCTTGACCACGACACTGGTTGGACATGGGTCTACGCTGCCACGGACGGTGCATGCACCAACCAAGCCATCCCATTGCTAGCACGAGCGGGCTACGGCGTCTACTACGGCATCGACCACCGCATGAACTACAGTGCACGCGTTCACGGCATTACGCAGAACGCACAGCTTGCGGAGACCCTCGCCATTGTCCACCTCACGGCATGTGCTGAACGGCCCGTACACGTTTTCGTGGACAACCAGGCGGTGGTCGATGGGTTCCAAAGCATCATCGACGGACACTCAGCACCGCAGGGCACGCACGTGGAGCTCTGGGAAAAGATCCACCGATGCGTTATGGCCAAGCCCAACATGTTCCGCGTCGAGAAAATCGCAAGCCACCTGGGAGACATGGGCATCGACCTCGGGCTCATCGGGCCCATTGCGGAGGAGTTCAATCGTCAGGCTGACGCCCTCGCCACAACGGCGGCACGCACTCACAACCTTCCAGACGACATTGTCGAAGCTGCCAAAACACGACATCGCCAAGCGACCGTGCTTCATGGGGTCGCTGTCGCCATCTACGAGCGTAGACACCGCACACTCCCGCTCCCACACCGCAGGGCTGGGTTTACAGCTGCGGAACTCAACAAAATGGAACCAAACCCCCTGCTGTCGGACCAGGCACCACCCGCGGCTGGACCAGACATCCCACAGAACCCGGACGAGCTCTGGGCCGAGGCCCAACGGGCGATATTCGACGAACAGGAGGACGACCCGTTCGGCTTCGGCGGGGGACTTGACTTCCTAGGCGACGGGCCAGCCAGCGCCAACCTTGCCCCGTCGGGCATCCGCACGTCGCCCTCGACTCCGCCACTGAGAGCGGCATCGCACCCACATGACAACGCCGCTCACCTCCAAGACGCTGACGAACAGGAGGACGACCCGTTCAGCTTCGGTGGGGGATCGGACGCTTTGGACGACGGCCCAGTCAGCGACAACCCTGCCCCGTCGGGCAACCTCTCGACGCCTACCGCGACTCCGTCTCCGAGAGCGACATCGCCCCCATATGATGATATCGGTCACCGCCAAGACGCCGACGACGACCTGGGTGACCCCCGCGGACTGAGTGGCATAGACGACGCACCGCCGACACCCCACGTTGCCGACCATGCCGCCCTACCGAGACGCCACCCTACTACGCGGCTGACCTCAGAGCCCTCGCACGGCATCATGATTGGTCCCACCGCGCAAACCACTCCGCCCCCCCACCAGCGGCAGCCCGCGGGGGCGGCTTCAGCCCCCCCGCAGGGCACTGAACCAGACAGGCCCTCGCACCCCGTCCACGCTTCCATCGTTGCTGAGCGAGAGGATGCGGCTCTCCCGACCTCTCGGGGCGTGGCCCTAGCGGCTCCAGCCCTGGGGTCGCGTGTTCCCCTCCAGTCACCTTTCAAGGGTGACGGACGACAGCATACAGGGTGCCGTACTACGCTAGTCCACCATCTGGACAGGCGTACCGAGGACCTCGCCCCTGTCACGAGGCCCTCGGCCGCTGGCACTGAGCAGCCACCCCTCACCGACCGCGAAACCGAGCTGTCCCAGGCTATGGCCGCTCTCCAGCAGAGGTGTGTTGCTCTCGCCGCGGACCTCGCCGCCGCCCAAGCTCGCCAAGGCCCTCTACTCCAGCGCCTCCACAGCGCCGGGCGAGCCTTCGCCGAGCTGCTTACGCCCTCGCCCGATGGTGCCGTGCCGTCACTCACCATCCAAGCTATGCTGTCATCGTTCCGCGGCGCTCCACCTGGTGCCCCGCGCTAATCTCCTCCTTTCTGCCTGCCCGTGAGTACGCGTGGCTCCGCGTCCACGGTGTCAGGGCGTGGGGGCGGGGGGTGCCCCGTCACTGCGCGCCGCTTTGCGGCCAAGCGCCCAACTGGCGGTCTGCCAAGCCGCCTAGCCACGTGTCAGCACGTCGCCTTTCTTGTTGGGGCCTCTTTCTTCACGCGGTCTGACAGGTGAGATCATCACCGTCTGTCCGCCGTCTGTAGCGTCTGTCGCACTGCGCCGGGGGAGGGGGTTTTTGTTGCCCGCCCTCGTATCTAAAGGCTGCACCGCCGCAAATAGTGTTTAGCGAGTTGTCGCACCGCAGTGCGCCTCGCGGACGGACCCTGGTCCGCCTACTTGTCCGCTCTCTCTCTCTCTCTCTCTCTCTCTCTCTCTCTCTCTCTCTCTCTCTCTCTCCCTTTTTTTTTTTGTTTGTTTTTTTTTTTTTGTTTTTTTCTTTGTTTTTGTTTCTCTCTCTCTCTCTATTTCTCTCTCTCTCTCTCTCTCTCTCTCTCTCTCTCTCTTTCTCTCTTTCTCTCTTTCTCTCTTTCTCTCTTTCTCTCTTTCTCTCTTTCTTTCTCTCTCTCTCTCTCTCTCTCCCTCTGTCTGTCTGTCTCTGTCTCTGTCTCTGTCTCTGTCCCTCTCTCTCTCTCTCTCTCTCTCTCTCTCTCTCTCTCTCTCTGACAACTATCATCGCCACATTGGCGGCGCGCAGCTCCCTGCCATTGGTGGAAGAAGCGTGTTTTCATCAGCGTCAGATTGTCAAATTCACTTCCTTGGCCTCGTTCTGACAGGCACAACTATCGCACAATTGCCAACGTCCGTTCCTGTTAACTGCCAGCAACGTCGCCGATATGTCAAAGTCATTTCCTGTTGCGCCAGTTGTTATTTCAATTCCACTTCTTAGATCGCGACCCTGAAAGGCGCCGCTATCGCAATTTTTCCGGAACGTGGTTTTCCTAAGCGGAGTGCCATCGCCTTACGTTCAATTGTTAGGTCGCCATCGTGAAAGGCGTCACTATCGCAAATTTTTCAAAAGCATGTTTTCCGTATACAGGGGTTCGATAAACGGTATATATGGTTTTCGTTGATACAGATCGCCATCGGAAATGTTTCATTCAAGTTCGAATCACTTCTTAGATCGCGACCATGGAAGGCGCCGCTATCGCAATTGTTCTGGAACGTGGCTTTCCTAAGCAGAGCACCATCGCCTTACATTCAATTGTTAGGTCGCCATCGAGAAAGGTGTCACTATTGCAAATTTTCAAAAAAAAAAAAAACATGTTATCCGTATACAGAGATTCGATAAAAAGGTATACATGTTTTTCGTTGATACAGATCGCCATCGGAAATGTTTCATTCAAGTTCGAATCACTTTTTAGATCGCGACCCTGAAAGGCGCCGCTATCGCAATTTTTCCGAAACGTGGTTTTCCTAAGCAGAGTACCATCGCCTTACATTCAATTGTCAGGTCGTCATCGTGAAAGGCGTCACCATCGCAAATTTCCAAAAACATGCTATCCGTATACAGAGATTTGATAAAAAAGGGTATATACGGTTTTCGTTGATACAGATCGCCATCGGAAATATTTTATTCAATTTCGATTTTCTGATCAAGATTTGAAAGGCAACCCTATCGCAGTTTAAAAAAAAACCATGTTTTTGGTAACAGCACCATCGCACACTCTTGTAATTTAGTCGTTCAGTCACCATGTTGAAAGGCGCCACCATCGCAATTTTCAAAAATGTGTTCCCCGTCTACCGAAAGCTGCCAAGTGCAGCGGCGTTTGCGTTCGTAGCTCTTTCGGGACATTGGCGATGAGTCGTGTTTCTCGTGTAGGGTGGTTTGCATTCACATACGTTCGTTTTCTTCACCGGTGTGTATGGATTCGCTCATGTTTGCTAACGCATTGATGAACAAACGTTGTTTTACACACCTCTGCGATTTCGAGGCTGATTTGTAGGGGGTGTGTTGCTTTGCC